TGTATTTAGATAGAAGCTAGCGAGCTAACTCCCTGCTAACTTCTAACTCCGCTAAATGTCATAAATTCCGTTTTCATGGATGCCTGGATGTTAAACTCAATTGTTACATCTGGTAGAGCAGAACGCTGATCATTTTATTAAAGATGAAAGACTTTAGACAGTTTTTCAACTCTCAGTAATGCCACAGTGATCGTTTGATATGTGGACCTGCAGCGGAGTTTAGACCCAGACACGGCTAGTGACGTCAGACTGAACAACCGGATACTAATTAGCTCTTATTTGCATCTTTGCACTTCAATAATACAGTTTATGGATGCGCCTGGTCAGCCAGCTTCATAGCAGATAACTTGGCTTCCAAATATATTGACGTCTTGGTCCAAAAGTTCCACACAGTGGCGCCTGAAATGGAAGCATCAAAATGACAAAACCAATCCAAAACCAGTACTTGTGTCATGGTTGCTGTGTCCATTATTCACCTCTGCTGTGGCCTGGTTCTGTTGGAGGTGTCTTCCTGTTCAAAGGGAGTTTATCCTTCCCACTGTCACCAAATGGAGTTTTCTCTCTATTATTATCAGGTCTTTACCTTGTATTATAAAGTGTCTTGAGGTGACTGTTGTTGTGAAAAATTCACATTGATCTTTTAAATTAACGACCATTTAAGCTAACATGTTTAGCCAGGGAGTCACACGAGCAGACATGAACCGAGACTTCACTTCTTGTCCATGACGGTGAATCAGAGGGTAATATTTCCTGAGTATTTAATGAACTCACCTGAGACTATATTGGAGATATGTTACAGAAGAAAAAACTATAAACTGCTGTATAACTATAAAACTGTAGCGGGAGAAACAAACATTGTTTTTCCCTCTAATAGAAAATTCATGTCCAAGAAAACAGGTTAATAAATACATTTTTGCTTTCTGAAATGCCACGAGCCTGTGCTGAGATTTAATCAGGCCATCTCTGCCTGATAACTGATACCCAAATCCCAAAAAGGCTTTGCCCCCGATATGACACAGACATTTTGCTGGTCATATCCAAGCCCTGGGTCTTCATTTGATATTATTATTGTTATTCAATTTTATGAGTGGGAATTTCCTTCAGTTTGACCGTTCCTCTTGGGATTGTGTTGAATGTCATGTAAGTGTGGAATGTGGACACTAAGCTGTACATTATCACTGAAATCCTTCGGCCATAAACTATGTGCCCATATGTAACCCAAAGCCTTGGGGTGTGACAGGGGAAGTGGTTATAATCACGATCCATCTAATGGATCAGGCTGATCTAATCCACAAATAGTTACAGTTGAGCTTTGAGCTGCTAAATCCACACGCAGCTGACTGTCAAACAATAACAGAAATTGAAGTCGTTGTGGCGAGCTACCTTTTTTGTAATCCCCGTGATGAGTTAAAGTGTAGGAGAGAAAGCTTTTTGTTGTTGGACAGATTGTAATCTACGTGACAGCGGGGGACAGTCACCCCAGCTTTGATCTGAACCACCGTAACGCACGGTGCATTTATCGCCTCACTGAAAGAGGTTTTAGTTTAATCTAAAATATTTGTTAGCATTTAAATGTTGGTTAAATTTGATGAACTCCTGCTTTTAAAAGGAGCTTTCAGTTATCTTTAGTTTGATTACATTTTCATTATCAGACTGTAGTTTGGGGGGTATACTTGAGCCCAGCTTACTTTTGATTCCCTCCAACTTTTTAAACCTTAGATCTTCATGTTTTACACATTTAACTTCACTGACGCAACAGAGGGTCACTCATTCTTATTACAACTTTTTATTTAGTTCATCTGTAAATTGGACCATGAAGGAAAATTTAGGTGATCGCAGAATAAACTGCTAACGTCTAACCAAACCGTCGCTGCTCGCTGAAAACGGCAGAACCCTAACAAACTTTGGCTAAACCCAGCAGTCCTGATGGGAATCCAAATCATTGACAGTGAGGAATAGACACAATAATCACTTTAAGTAAAGTCCAGCGAGTGATAAATAAACTGAAGAGTGGTAAGTCACTGGGCTCAGACTGAATTCAAGCAGAAATGCTCAAGAATGGTGGAGAGCCAATCTGCCGAGTGTTATTTAACATCTGTTCAAAAGTTTGGGGCCATGTGGACTCATTCCAGTGTAAAAAAAAGAAAAAAGAAAAAGGAGACAAAACCTTATGTGAACCACAGAAGCATGAGCTTAATAAACCACTAAAGAAAATTCTACAGAAATTTAGAAAAGTAAATAAATTTTATACACTAGCATTATGTGAATAGAGCTGAATGCTGTAAATGGTGAAGCCTTAAGTCTCAGTGTGTTCCTTGATTCTGCATAGACAGATTAGAGTAAGCGCGATGTAAAATAAAACTTTTATTTTGGTAAATCTTGCTGCCAGCACTTGAATGTAATTTAACACTGGAGAGTGTTATAGTATAGCCAAGTAAGTTAAAAAGATCAATGATAATTAAAAAATCTAACTTGATTTAACATCATACTATATAAGTCTGTACACTGGCTAATGTAATATTATTTATTTCATTAATATTATTGATAATTTCATTGAATACTATTCATTTGTTATCTTTGATGAAAGCTCAGCTCAGATGGGACAGCAATGTGTAGGTATGCATGTTCTGAACCCAGCAGTCTCAGTGGGATAGGAGGGCAACAAAAGGTGTGTGTGTGTGTGTGTGTTCAGTAATACACGAAACAGATTTAACTGCATTTGAGGAGAAAGTGGTGACAACATGGCTGACTCATAAGTCTGCTGTCGCTCAGCATGTGAAACAGGGATAAGCCCTCAGCCTGAACAATAGACTGGGCCCCCTGTACAGGCATCTGACACGCTTTAGCTCAGATTAGTGTGTAAAATATAGGTTATCCTCCGAGGTGACAAATGGGCTTCATAGAAGTCTAAACAGTGATGCTGATTTGACACAGTGCTGCTGTTTTAAAGCTCCCCCATTATAAAGCTGTTTATTTGTGTATTTGATAAGCAATATGCAAATAGACACGTGCCATAAACCAAGTTCTTTATTGCATTCTTAGACACGTAACCCATAAACTGAATGAAATCATCATTAAAAAATATTTGTTATTTTTATAGTCGTAAGATCAAAGTGCAGATGTTTTAAAAGTTATCTTATACTGAACAGCTACAAAAAGATTAGAGCTTTATTAGCGCCAAGAAATACATGCTCTTAGTGGGAATGGGACATATTAAAGATTAATCGTCACTACAATAATGTAAAGTAAAGCAACTGGTCACAACAATTAATTTAAGCCATTCATGCTCAATAAGTCAGTAACTGTACATATAATATTAACTAGGAAAAGTAGCTCTATTGTTTTACTACCCGTTGCTTTTAATTCACACATTTGCATTTGTGATAGGGGGTAATTAGGATCTATTTATTATTCACACAATCCCTCATAAAAGGCTAATTAGCATTTGTTTTGACGACAGTAAAAATGCAAGAGAAAACGATTTATATTTGTTAGCACTCACAGGTCATTATGCTGCAGCTATTTGTCAGGGGCGTAGCATCCCCGGCTTGATCTGAGTCAGGGAGAGAGATCACTCATTCATTCTTCCTCTTGGGACAAAGATCCAGCTGTATTTCTAAGAGACATTATTATTAGTAGTAGTAGTAGTATTATCATTATTGTCATTGTTGTTGTTGTTGCTTTTATGGTGTATTTGTTTATGGTTTATACTACCTTTAGTTTTTCCACTGATGTAATTTAACTGACGCTATTATTAGTTTTTGTGTAAAGTCATGTTTTTGTCTCTTTAGAGTCCCAGAGCCATAATTTAAAGAGAGAGTTTGATGCACAGATTTATGAACAAGCTCTACGCTGTCATTGGCTTAGAGCCATGTCAATCAAATCATAACTGCCCCAAACTACATTTTTTAAAAGGGGTTTTAAAACTTCCTAGGTGATTTATGTTTTGTTTTGTTTTTTTAAACTCACCTCCAGTGTATTTCAAATGTCTATTTTGTGTAGTTAATTAAATAAATTGCAATAAATAAATAATTTATTAATGACTTTTAGAAAAATGTAATGGAAAGGAAGATGGAAACTTTGGGGTGGAAGGGGCACCGTAAGGTAAGGGTTACGGCAGAGATACTTGTCACACAACAAACTTCATTTTTTCATAAATTTTTAACCGGTTATGTTAAGAAAATTTCCCAAAAAACCGTTTTACTGTATTGAATTAGCCATTAAGAGCTAAACGAATATATTCAAAACATTATATATAT